GCATTCCTTAAAAATAATCGTCGGTTCTGCTAGGGATAACAATTAAATATGTTTTTTGTGTTTAAAAACAAATTATGCCAATTCTAACATAACAAAGAAAAACTATTACTAACATTATTTCATCAAACAGCTTTCAGTTAAGGCTATTATTTTTAAAAACATACTACTCTGGCAAGTGAATTCTTTTCTGAATTTAGAATAACTAGCTGGGCCCTCTTTCGATGAAAGGAATGATCGGTGCATTAACATCAACTGAAAGTCACTGGCCTATTATATTTACACTCTGCTGGAATGGAGCAATAAATTAATGTGGATTTTGTCCAATAGTTGCACTTGTTGCACCCGGCACCCATGTAGATGAGTCAATTAAAGTCGACCAATAAGTGAGCTCTATTATTAAATAATGACCACCGGCGAAAGTGATTAACTTGCCGCTTAAAATTTTTTAATAATTTTCCTCGTTTTTGTTTGTTGATTTTCAGTTTTCTTTTCTTCCTTCTCATTCACAGCACCTCCCCCTTTTTCCTTTTGTTAATTTGTGTTATCTTTAAACAATCTTAGCAATCCTCGTCGTCTCACACGCACGCGCGCGCACACACACACACACACTCACACCACACACACACACACACACACACACTCACTCACAACACACACAATCACTCACATCACACACACATACACCAAGCAGCTGACAATGAAACCAACCTCACGTTGCCTAGTGACATAGCCTGTCACACGCTATGCAGCAAAGCGGGGCCCTCCACGCCACGCACAAAAACCCAAAGAGCAAGTGCAATATCTTGGTAGTGGAGAATCTTTAGTTTGACCTCGCAAGAGGGATGCCCGCAGCATCATCTGAATATGATTAGAAAAATAGTGATAATTTTGCGTAGGCCTAGCGCGTGGTTTGCACTGGCAGTTTCCAAATTCCTTTCCTTTATAGATCTAGTTTTACTCTATTTGCAGCTCGGCGTCCTATTGAGTCCAGTCTCTTGTAAGTGCTTAATTTCTTGTGCTTACAAAACTTTAAAAGAAATGATCCGGATCAAAACAGTCGATCATTCGCATTGCGTTTTTTAACTTTGATGCTTTCGTATCCAAATTGACGTAGGCATACTCTTAGTCTTCTTCTTCTTCTCAGTTTATGTAGTGTACAGCATCAGAAACAATCTGGGTGGAAGAAGGGTGCTGCACTATCGCAGACAACTGAACCGAACAGTTTTGCAAGTTGCAAAGAAAATAATCGGAGTCGGCAGGCTGCCGTCATGCGTCGTATTGCCTCTATGACCAGTACTTCTATACTCTCTACCATGACTGACAAAGTGGGGAATCCCTCAATGACGTCAAACAAGATGTTACAATAAATATCGGCCAGTGGCGTTTAGTTGTCATTCTCTAGCTATCCGCTTGTGGCCTAGATTCTAGATCTAGATCTATATATATATACACTTATTTTTAAGATGTTATTTTGTAATGTTTTATGACATAGAAATACTAAGACTATCATCTATGATTCATGATAGTGATCACAATTTTGTTTAGATCTAGACTATACTATACATGAATATGAGTTCTTATGACATCTCTAGGCCTAAATAAATCTAGATCTTTTTTTTACATGACATGAAGTAGATCTAAAGTAGATCTATATGGAGCTACAACAAGCTCCTAGCACACCTCAGTTACGTATTTCTGCCATCTATTTTTGTCATCTTCCGGGGTTTCCCCCAAGACTCTTGGGTTTCCCTCGCCAGTAACTGTTGACAAGAATTGTAAAGATTGTTTATAAAAGATATCGCCATTATTTTTTTAAAATGTATTAATTAAATTTGTGTTATCTTTTATAAACAATCTTTACAATTCTTGTCCATAAATTTACCTTCTCCTCAAAGTTGTACACACACACACACACACACACACACACACACACACACACACACACACACACCACACACACAAGTGCGTGCACACACACAAACACACACACGCGCGTGCACACACAGGCACACACACACAAACCCATGCGCACACACCGCCCAAGCTGTCGGCGATGAAACCTAGTGACGAAGCCCAAATCGCACTAAGCGGCACAGCAGGCCCACCACGGTGAGATCTAGTCAACTGGTGAGGTAAACCCTGGGAGACGACAAAAATAGATGGCGTAAATGCATCATCTATATTTAGGCCAGTCACAGATGTGTGCTAGGTGCTCGTTGTAGCTTATTGTGTTTTTTTAAATGGTAAAAGTAAAGTTGTTCCCGCTTCCGATCCGGACATTAGGGATTGTCTTGTTAGTGAGACAACTTCCTGGGCCTTCGGCAAATTGTGGTAGGGTGGCCAGTTCCTTTCCACACCGCCTTTACTTCCCCAACTAGAACTCAGGTACCCATTACTGTTGGGTGGGCAGGAGGGGGCAAAAAAAACATGTATCCAAACCGAGGCTCGAACCCGGACTTTCCGCTTCGGAGACGAGCGCACTAATAAATCCGCCACCATAGTAGAGTTCTCGAATCTCAAACACGAAAGTCAAGAATTCTCGGATATCTCGAACATAATGCTCGGTCCCGTTTCAGTCCCTATGTTTTCTTTGTATTGACTTCACGGAGTTCCCGAACACTCGGAACACGCAACACTCAAATCTCGAACAAATTTACTTCGCATTTTCAACTAAAGATCAGCTTTACGGCCTTTCTGGCCGCGGGTAGGTGTTTCTTTTTGTTACAGCCAAAACGGGGTCCTTGTCTCACCACGAGAGGCTGGAGGTAGGGGGGACAGGGAAGGGGGGTTGGGGAGTGATGATGACTGCACCGCTTGACTGGCTCGCTACGGGTGCAATCATGCTGCGGGATGCGCGCTTTGGATGGCAAGAGGCAAAACTTTCTGTAGGCTAATGAAATGAGAGGAAAGGAATGATGTAGGAGTCGGCTGTGCACACGTGAGATTTTCTGCTTCCCACTTTCATTTGTTTTCTTGCTTTCACACAGTCAGCACATTCATAAAGGGAGGTGACAACATTAAAATTGTTTTAATCTTCTTTTTTACCTCCCTTGATTTTCTCTCTATTTCTTTGCAATTGGGGCTTTCACGGAGATGACGAATTGTGGAAATCTTGAACACTATTTCCAATCCCCAGCGAATTCGAGTCTTACTGTATGTCTGCTCTGCTGGTACTGACAGCATCAACAGTGATACGTGCTAATAGACTGAGATCTTTATAGCCTACTTTATGTGTGACAGCACTGCATTATTAAATTATTGTTGATGGTGATTATCAAATCTAGATTTAGAGGTCTCTGCTAATCGCCATTCTAACTCACATTTGACCCTCTGTTAATTTGTGTTCTGTGCCCTTTTTCACAGACCTCCTGGGTCTTCTAAGTCTAAGTCCTTGCCTTGAAGAACTATGTTAAATAAACAGGTTTTCATCAACTATTATGGATGACTAATTTCAGGGTAAAAGAATAGATGAACAGTAATAGATTCTGAGAGTTTGTGACTGTGAATTTTTATGGCTGGATGTGACAGTGTGATATATTAAGTTCTAATTAAGAGGTTAAGTGCCATTGGTTGAATTCTCCCTGTGGAAATTACATTTCGACTGCAGCTCAATGGCTGTTCAATGGCTGTTTTCGGCATTAACCAGACAGAGGGAAATGGAAAGCTATCAGCTTGATGTGTCAATGGAGCAAATCACATTATTTTATTCTGCTACAGCAGTTTCGAAGATTATCTCATATGTGGCCTATTCAAAATGCTGTCTGAAATGTTTGACACAGGCAACAGAGTTTTTACACACTTTGAAAAATTATTATGCAGTCCAATAAGAACCTTTAAGCAGTGCGAGGTTAATTTGATACAACTTGCATATTTTCATATTAGGTCCATAATATTAATCTCTCCATAATGGTCCATGTATACCTCAAACTCAGCTGTAGGCAGTCATTTTCGTGTCAAGTGAGCTTCAAAACCTGCTCATAGCGGTCACTTTCTAGAAGTTTTCCATCATCAATCTGTCCTCAAACTGAGATTTTTCGTTCATTAGTGCAAAGGAGCAGCTTGGCTTATTGCTGGCTAGGACTAAACGAAACAAACAAGGGGAGGGGGGGCTGGCAGGACCTACTGCAGGGCATACATATTCTTCAAACTCAATAACACGTGAGTGTCAAATGAACTGAGCACACTGCTGCTGCCGACACCTTACTTGACAGCCTATATAATAACACACCATGCAGCTGACTTCGGTAAAAATACTGTCGAATAAAACTATTAAAGGGCAATTTGATGTCTGTCTTTCAGTGACAATCAGTTACCCGTGTCAGGGTTGGGTTTTTTTGTGTGTTTTTTTTTTCTTGTTGGTTTGGGTCAACTACCAAATGGGGGGGAGTTTGAGTCTGCTAGCACAGCATTATTTTTAAAAGTTCTTATGATTGACATCAATTTTGTCAATAGAAGTGAAATTGGAAGATAAAATTAAGATTTCAGAAACGCACAATGGTGGGAACTCAGAGGGGAATGTTTTACTTCTGCACATGTGTTGTTTTTGGTGGTTTACATGTTGACCTATGTGAGAGTTCATTTTCATACTTAATGCAAGTGACCAAACTCAAACCCTTTTCAGTGGGTGGTTGGCAGGTGCTCTGGTGTGGTTTGCTTCTTATTTCCTATGAAACTTCTATCGTCCTTATTTCCCCTTCTTCTTTTTTATGTTTTTTACTCTCTTGTAACACTTCTAATCTTCTGGCGCTCATATGACCTTATATGCAGTTGCGAGCGCAGTCAAACCTCCACTAAAAAACCCTTTTCATAGCAACCACTTGTTTATTTATAACTCACTTTTCTCTTTGATACTGATTGACTGTGACAAACATGTTCGGTTTTCCTGTTGCAAAATGGAGGGTACAGTTTAAAGAAAAGGCCCCATTATTATGTTTTTTTCTAATTGATTTATAAACTTTTTTGTTATAGTTTTGTTTTGATGTTTCATTTCGATGTTCTAGACAAACGCAAGGAACAGAAATCCACCCAGACAGTGTGGATAATGTTGAGACAACCAGAGAGCAACTGCATCAAGCATCCGAGGGTGCTCAGGGACGCAACTCTCAACGTCGAGCCAACCACAGGAATGATGGAGAACTTCAGTGCCCTATTTGTTTAGGATCGGCTGCTTTTGCTGTAGAGACAAACTGTGGCCATGTTTACTGCGGTATGTGTGTGCACTACTTCTCCTCAGCAGATGATGGGTGTTTATGTAATGTATTAGTTTACATTCTGTGTCCTGTGACAATGTTGTATGTTGGCTAATTAGGTTGATGCAGGTAAGAAAATGCTGATGGCAGGGAGCGCATGGAAATGAAATATGTTCTGTTCTCTGTTGCAGTGTCTTGTGTCTTTTTAGGTTTATATTCTTCTCTGCAATATACTTGTTTTTCGACTTGAGTTTAGTTTCAGTTCACAGGTTGTAAAATGGATCTCTGTTGATACTGAAGCGTTATTCATTTTGCGGTTATCGTAGTATTCCAAGAAAGGTCAATCATTTTCCCTCATTCTGTTCTCTAGTCTTTTGCTCTCCTTCCATCTTCCATATGCTGAAGTTTTTCATCATTTTGTTCACTTTGCCGGCATAGCATGATTAGTGAAATGGCTGTGGGCCATCTTGATCTTTCTTGTGCCTCTTTCTGATTCTTGCTAATCATGCCTTACCATATTTTTCCTAGAATCTTTTTAAGACATCTCATGTTGTAGGTATTATACTTTTTCTCATTTCCAGAAGTGTAGTCTTTTATATATGTGAGGCAGCATGGTGAAATCAGGCGCTCGTCAAAATAATGAAATCGTAGAAACATGCATTCTCCTGCCAGTTTTGAAATTTTTATTGAATTTTTATTTTTTGGCTTAACCTCTTTTATGTCCATATAAAAAAATATTGATTAAAGGCACAAAGACTCTTTAGCTATTCAAGTTACTAAACTTTGGCAGCCATTTTCTTGCTGATTTTATCACTGAAACCAGGCGACCTCACTTTCTTCAATCGTAAATATCCTGAGTTCTACTCAAGATAAATGATTTATTTAATTGGAAGCAATGCAAACCAATCAGCTTTCAGATGATACCAATAACTCCACATGCCCAAAAATTGATGAGCGCCTGATTTCACAGCGTCGTGACACATATACTTTCATCTTGGCGCCGTGACACATATACTTTCACCTTGGCCTTATGGTTGAGATTCCTGTTACACAAAACTCTTTTTTGATAGCTTACTCCTTTGTCCATTCATATTATTTAATCCATTCCGGGCAAACATTTGGACCGTAGTTAGTAGACAGTATTTTTTAAAAAATTTTTATACTATGTATGTGCATGAAAAATTATGCAAAGACAACAAAAAACATTGTATGATACTACCCTTCTCTTAAGTGTCCTTTACTAAGAGCTCTTTTCTATGGAATTGCCTTGTCGCAGGTGAATACGTAGAATGATTTTTACTCTTATTTGAAAGAGTGCTTATTGTTTTTCCTATTGTGTAAAATGTAAATAATAATTTTTTTTACACACTATTGTAATTTTGTCAAATGTAAATAATAATTATTTGACAAACTGTGTTGTAATATCAATAACCAGGGGTGGTGATCCCCATGCATTGTGCACTGTGTATAATTTCCCATTCTTATATTTCAGGCCACTGTATGATCACCTATTGGCAACACCAGACCTGGTTGGGTGCTGTCAGGTGTCCTTCATGTCGCACACAGGTTTGTTTGTTTCAGAACAGTGTATATTACTTTCGTAGTTACCCCAATATAGCTTGACATGACCCTGCCTCTGGAAATTCTATGCCGTTACAGTGGACATATTCTAAACTCTCGTATCATCATCAAAAGGTTTCTTCATTTTGCATTGGTGATATCGAACTCTGTAATAAAAAGAGTCAACTGGTATAGCAAATTGTCTCGATATTATGATGTCTTGCTATCTCCAAAACCCAACGGAGATAGCAACTGAATACCTTTTTGAGAATAACATATGTGAGGCATCATGATGAAATCAGGCGCTAGTCAAAATAATGAAATTGAAGATATTTGCATTTTTCTGCCGGCTTGGCAATTTTATTCTCATTTTTGTCTTTTCGCTTAACACCTTTTATGACTTGTGTTCGTTCTTTTCTTGAAGCGCTGATAAGTTGTCGTTTTCTTATTATTATAGAAGTTTCTAATTGTGACTCAAGTTATTCCAGTATATCGACAGGAGTTGTCTCGAAAATTATTCTACGTACTCGGTATTTCAGTAGTTTTCATTATAAATGGATCCCACTGTGCACATATCACAATCATGGGGAGTCAAGTAAGATTATAAAGAAACCCTCTCCTTACACATGACGCGACGTCCAATAGCACACAACCGTTGCCTGCGATCGGTCCATGTAGCGATTGAGGGTCTCGTCACTTGCAACAGACTGGGAGTATGACAGGTTTAGAGCATCACCATTGGTCAAAATACCTAGCCAAGTAGTACCGGTCGTCATGCCGTGTGTGGTGTGGTGTGGTGTGTGTGTGTGGGTGTGTGTATGGGTGTGTGTGTGTAGGATTTTCATCTTCAATTCCACCCAATGCAAGTTTTGTGAATCTGATTTTATTTTGTTTTTTTAACGGACAGCAGGAGGAGGAGGAGGAGGATGGAGGAGGAGGACTTACACAGGATTGGCCATGTACGGAATAAAAAATGTCAGTGGCTCTTACAACTGATGGACTCTTGTCCATCTTGACATTAAGATTTGCCACAGTCTTTCTTCTGTGAATTGCCAGTCACTCGAGGGCTTACCCAGTCACGTGCATCTAAACGTCGCGTCGTGCATCAGGAGATAGTTTTGTCACTTTTGTTGCATGTGACTAAAAATTTTCGTGCGATGTAGTCGCACAGAAAGATACACACCCTGCGACTCATCACTAGCAACTGTCGTCGTGCATAAGAAGACAGGCTAAGTGCCAACATGGGGTCTAAAGAACAAAAGAGAGTTGACTGAAAAGGGCACAGGCATTTTCTCTAATGAAATAAATATCTGATAAGATTTGTAGCCTTACCCCACCTCTCTTTCTTTTTTTTTCCAGTCCTAATCCTGTTCTTTGTATTTTGCCCAGTGAACAAATCTCTGTTTGCTTTTAAGAGTATTTCAATAAAACATCTACTAGCTCCCCCCTCCCCCCCCCCCTCTCCCACCTTCCCCCGTTTTTCCTTTTTCTCTTTTTTCTTTACCTACCAGCCACTTTATGACCTTGTAATTTTTCTCCTGGTTTTGATTTATGTTCACCATTTCCTGCAGATCCAGACAGTTCCTTCAAAGTTCAGTTGTTTGGGGGTTTGTTTTTTTTCCTGCTATTATTTTTCTTCCTTTTTTGGGGGGGAACCCCTTATAACCATGTTTGTTCATGTTATGTGTCTAGTGGGTCTTTGAGATACGGTCTCAGTTTAGAAATAACACTTGTCAAGCTGTTATACTTCTGAAGCATTCTACGGTTTCCATTTTCATAAGTCACATCCAGCAGAATTGTGAAAGTTCAGCAGCTTCTGCAGTGGTGACTGCATCAAAATTAAAGGAGTCAGTGGTGTGTTGTGTCTCTTCAGGTGTCACTGCTTTTGCTGAACTTCACGGCAGAAGAGCATGCGTCAGAGAGTGATGAAAGGCGCGATGTGATTGAAAAGATTAATGCATACAATCGGAGATTTTCTGGAGAACCAAGATCGGTGAGTTACTTATATATCCCTGAACCCTTTGCTGGTCTCTCTACTTCATCTTGAATGCAAAGAAAGTTAAAAGCAAAAAACATGATGCTAAGAATTCCTCAATGTACTCTATCACAAAGATTATTTGTGTGAACCTGTCTTATTATGATGATGGAAAAATCAGTGACTCTGTATGTCTTTGTATGTCGTATTAGTTCAGCTGCTTCATGGCATCCCTGGGTTGTCTACAGTCATTACAAACATCTTCCTTGTTATCTATAATAAAACTATGTTTGGCGGTGGTTGGCGGGTTCTCTGGTGTGGTTTGCTTCTTCTTTCCTATGAAACATCTATCGTCCTTATGTCCCCTTCTTCTTTTTATGTTTGTTACTCTCTTGTAACACCTCTAATCTGCTGGCGCTCATATGACCTTATGCAGTTGCGAGCACCGTAAAACCTCTACTAAAACTAAAACAAAACTATGTTTATTGCTCGATCATTCATTTCTACTGTTTGTTGTTTGTTTTATGCCAAGAAGTTGCACAAGGGCTGAGTTATTGGGAAGTGTGTGATGCTGAAAACTTGGATGACAAAACTGGTTGCGTACAAAGGAGAAATAGCCTTCTGTGTACTAAAAGTAAAGAAGGTATTATTTTCCTACTTTGTAGAATGCAGGAGCTTTTACAGGACATGAGGATGGGAAGCACTTCTGTATCAAGCGACCACCTTAATTAACACACACAATAAAGAAGAGGCCTAACCCTAACCCAAGCCCAAACCCCTCGTGGTCCAGAGGTATAGGTCTCTGCCTCTCAATCAATAGGTCACGGGTATCAAGGAGTGTTGGCCTACGTATACATCCAGGCAAGTCAAAAGTAGTGAAGCTAGAAAAAGTTTCAAGCTCTGCTGTGACATTGGAAGACACTCCCCTGGAAGAAGTGGACTCCTTTACCTACCTTGGAAGTGTCATCGATGGTAAAGGTGGAACCGAGGCAGACGTTAAAGCAAGAACCGCCAAGGCAAGGTCAGCCTTCAAGCAATTATCAAAAGTCTGGAAAGCAACCAACATCTCGCTGCTCACCAAGATTTGACTCTTTAACTCCAACGTCAAGTCTGTGCTCCTCTACGGCTGCGAAACTTGGAAGACAACGAAAACAGTACTGAATATAGTCCAGACTTTCATCAACAGATGTATGAGGAGTATTCTAAAAATTAAGTGGCAGGATAGAATAAGAAATGAAGAACTGTGGGAAAGGACAGGACAAAAGGATATAGAAGTAGAAATAGGACTAAGAAAGCGGCGATGGATGGGACACACCTTAAGAAAGCCCAGCGGAAACATCACAAGACAGTCACTGTAGTGGAACCCACAAGGAGCACGAGGCAGGGGTAGGCCACAGGAAACATGGAGGAGATGAGTGGAAAGGGACATGAGAGAAATGAAGCTCACTTGGAACGAATTGGAAGGATGGCTCAGGACAGAGATAAATGGAAGGAGCTTGTATGTGGCCTATACCCTGCCAGGGGTGAAAGGCATTGATGATGATGAATACGGGTTGTGACAGAAAATTTTCTTCTCTAAAATTTTCTACTGTCACATCTTTTCCTACTCTCTAACAATGTTCTGTCGTCTGCTTTCGTCTCCACTTTCTGCCCCCACCCCCTCACCTACTTTGCCCCTCCCCTGGGCTCCTGACTCTTTCTGCAGCCCTTCTACTGCTGCTCCTTAGCTTTTTCTTACTACTGTCTTTTAGCCGGACCCCTGATCTTATGGTAGGTAAGATCTAACATCTAGACTTCTCGGATAAGGGCAAAATATCTCGGAGGTCCCTTGTGCAATTTGTGCACGTTAAAGGTCCCTTGGTTGTTCAAAATAGATAAGAGTAGGCTTTGGCCGCCACCTGGTCAAAATTCAAAATTTCCTACCAACTGAAAATGTTTAGTGTGTCCTGTGCGCTCACATGATCTTTTGCTATTGCGAGCCCTGTAAAACACTTGCAAAAAAAAAACAACCTCCCCAGGCCCAAACCCAGACTCGCAGCCAAACCCAAACCCAAATCCTAACCTCAACACTAACTTTAATCCTCTACCTATTTCATAATGGTCGCTCCCTGAGGATGCGCACTACCATTACTTCCCCTTCTCTCAAATATTGTATTGATCACTTCCCTTGTATTTTGATAGCTTTAGCCAAGACTAACAGCTGGTTGGGCTTTATTTTTTTGTTTGCGTTTTCTTTGCTTACTACCGTCACAGACCTTTCTCAGAAGTGGTTTGAGGGTGCTACTGGTAGATTTTTCTTCCTTTCTTTCACTCTGTTGTTTTTGGTCTTACTTTTTTTTCCCCTTGCATTACCATAATTGTGCCGATGTGCCTTTCTTTACTCTACCTCAAACTGACTTACTCCAGCAGGACAACTCTTAATGGTACGTTCATGTTGCATCTCAAACATAACAAGGACCAATCAGAGATCTTCTTTCCAAGATATCACCAATACAGATCATTTCTTAACTACATGTGGATGCCTTTTGGGGAGATTTGGGGAAAAGGGGTGGGGGGGAGGGAAGGGGAGAGAATATTTGTATTTTGAGTTATGAAGAGTGTTGGAAAGTGGAAAAATAGTTACACACTGGTGTATGTTGCATGTTGCTTCGTCTGGCTGTCTTGATAGATCACAGTGATATCATGAGAGGTAACTTTTGAGATTTTCTTAAATTTTCCCTTTTGTCCACCATTTATAACTGTGCTGCTGACAAAATTTTGCTATGTATTGAGAAGAAATGATCTTACCTTTGTATAAGTACTTGTAGGAAAAAGATATCTCTTTTTCACAAAAGTGTTGACTTTTGGGCAAAACATTTTTTAAGGCATCATGCCTTTTTTGCAGGAGTTTATTGTAACATAAGAGAATGTTTTCACAGAATTTAAAGACAACTTCAGAGGCTTAAAAAATACTAGTCCTTTGATTAGTATCTGGAGAAAAAAGACTTCTGCGCAAAAAAACAGTAGATCTAGTACCTCCTTAGATTTTACACATCCTTCACAGTAGGCTACTGATATAAGGGTTTCTGTGAGTGATTGTAAAGTAGTTGCATTTCTTTCACTCTTTGAAATTGTTATTTTAAAATTTTGGTAAAATTTATATTTTCATAAATTTTGTGCTCCATTGACATTGACAATTTAGTCGGTTGAGGCTCTAAAGAGCCTGTTTGACTATCTGGTAATGAATGACTATGCATGGGGTGCAGGCTAGACAAATCAGTTTTGGCGAGTGGGGTTGTAGATAGTCGTGAGATCTTTCCAGTATTCGTCAAGACGTCTGGTTAAATGTGTCCATGTATTGATCTTGGTGTGTTGAGTAGTGAAATGGCACATTTCGTATCATATTCAATTGAGCTACTATTTAGAAAACTGAAAGTTACCCAAAAGTTTCGAGTGCTTTCATTTTTTTTTCGTCTCGGCTGGCGGCCCGAATTTGGGAAGCAGGATCAAGTACTCAATCTTCAAAATGATGTAGCTTGTGTTTTGAACTTTAGAAGAACATTTGCAAAAGCAAAGTCTCGACATTGATTTATGAAGACTTTTTATGACACCTTGCCCATAAAATTGTGCTTTGATCTTACGATTCATGGGTTGTTGGCAGGTGTTCTGGTGTTGTTTGCTCTTTCTTTCTCCTATGAAACATCTATCGTCCTTATCTCTCCTCTTTCTTTTTTTATCTTTGTTATTCTCTTGTAACAGCTCTAATCTTTAGCACTTGTATGACCTTGTTGTGTTGCAAGTGCCTTAAAACTCCTACAAGAACTAAAAAAACAATCCCAAGAATGCATGGTATTATTATTACAAGGTTTCACTGTACATCCACATAAACTTCATTATTCCTCATCTTCTTCCAAGAGTTAGAATGAGTATATTGGTGAAACATTGTTGCAACTTCTATAAACTCAAATCCTTTTATTTTAACATTTCTTTTTTGTTTTTTTTTTGGTTCACAGATTCGAGAATACTTACAAGATCTTCCTACTTTGCTACGTCATGCATTTCACGAGTTCTTCAGTGTAGGAGGTCTCATGTGGATGTTCAGACTCCGGATCGTCATTTTGGTCTTCGGTGCACTGCTATATTTGATTTCGCCTCTTGATATTCTCCCAGAAGCTGCTTTTGGCATCATAGGGTTCTTGGATGATTTTTTCATTATTCTTTTGCTGGCCGTGTACATCAGTATATTTTATCGTCAAATTGTTGCTGCCAGAGGCGGAGCAGCAGAATGAATGGAATGAATATAATTTAGTAGTAAGAGCTCCCTAACCCTTTTCTCAACCAGGTGATGACTTTTAAAATGGTGTTTTCCAGCAACAGTAGGCCACGGCATAATTCACGAGTTTGGCATACTTAGATTCAACCTCTCATTGTGAATGAAGTAACTGCAAACATAGATCATGCTAATTTATTTTTTTTACCAAAGTGTAAGAGATTAGAGCCCCTTATGTCTTTGATGTTATATGAGTTTTCCGATTTGGTACAGTAAGTCCTTTGTTGTAGACAGATAAGATTGTGCAGCATTTCTATCATGTTTTCATATTCTGCGACAGTATGGGGTTTAGTTAAAACATATGCTAAAGAAGAGAAAGTGTTTGTTGAAAGAGGTGTGAGGCTTGAATAGAACTAAGAATGAATGTGACTGTATTGCAAGGTGTGTTTGTCAGAAAACCAGTCCTCCCTGAAGTAGGATGTGCCATAAGGTAAGAGTTATAGGTTTGATAGGCTTGATGTGCTTGATGTGTATGAAATATGTTTTTAAAAAAATAGTTTTGTCCATTTTCTTCCATTATTGTATTGAACCTGTCAGTCTGGAAGTTATGGATGGTTGGATGATACCCAAGATAGGCCTTACTTTTTACTCATGGCCTGTCTGTCTGTCTGTTTTGCTTGTTTTAGAGCATGCAATGGCTGACGCTGTGTACATGGACTTCTCTTTTCTCAAACCTAGTCTCTAGCACTCTTTAACAACCTGATTGTGTTGATATAGGCATCTTAACCTATACCATTTTTGTCTATAGCACATAATATTCTGTTCTGTAGTTTCCTTTTTCATTTATCTTTTGCAAGATATTCTGATAGCAGTTTTCACCATGTCCCAGGACTGTGACGTTAAATGAGGGCTCTGTAGTTTACTGTACAATTTGTGCTGCTGTAAATCTTAATAATTACGGGAGTCTGTCAAGTGCCCCATGAGGTCAAGATACGTTCTATTTATTCTGCTTCATTTTTGCCGCCCATTACCAAAGTTGCAATACTTCCTGAATTATGTGTATTTATTGTGTGGTAGTTTGAGCAAAATGTGAATGTAATTGTTTGTGAAATGGAAATTTCGTATGTATGTGCTCTTTATGGGTTTTGGAAAAGTTCAAAGGTCTCTTTGGTATTTGTTCCTGTTTCTTCTTTTTTGACAGGCCGTAGTATGAACCATGGACAAACTATGGTCTGCGGGCCAAATCTAGATGGCAAGCAATTTGTCTGGCCCTCAAGTTGACTCAGTAAATAGTCATGAATATGGTAGGCTATGAATTAATTGATAAAAAACAAAACTGCTCATCTTGAAAATCAAAAATCATAGTTTCCAGCCCAGCTGTCAGCAATGGATCTTATATAATTTATCTCATGAAATGTCCTTGAGTGGCGTATGTTATTGTGTCAGTTTTCGTCCCATTTTTCAAAGCTTGGGTATTTTGACCAATTTCAAGCAATGTTCTCCTGCTTTAGCCCACGAGATATTAAGAATCACTTAAACCTGTTGATAGAGTTGGGAAAACGAACCTATGATCTTACGATTTTGAGTCCCAATGCTTTATATCCCCTTTGTGCAAGGGGCATTAAATCTATACAGCTTTTCACATTTCCTAATCTCTTTGTGGCCTCCCCTTATGTCAAGCTCTATGTGCTATCCAGAACAAAGTGTTCTGTAAGGTTTTCTGAGGGGAGTTAAAATGTTTACTGTTGTTTGTATGTTTTGAAAGAAAAACTGTGCATTACACCTATATTTATATTATCTCGTAGGCCTACGGACTATTGCAACTCACTCCTTATAAAGATAACAATAGAACTAATGAATAAACTGCAAAGACTCCAGAACCAAGGTGCGAGAGTTGTTCTCAAAAGGCTTATACAAAAACACGCAACACTTGTTTTTACAGTAATATTGGCTCCCTATTAAAGCCTGTATTTATTTCAAATGGACAGTAAACTGTTGTAAGTGTTTAAACGATCTGGCACCACAATATCTTTCTAATTATTTTTTGTATGAGTATATTCCGTCTCAAAATTTACGATCCATTAATAAAAGATAACTCACGACTGTGCTTTCTAAAACAAACAAAAATAGAGATACAGCTGTTTCAACAGTTGCGTCCTCAGTGTGGAATTCCCTCCCACGAAATTTAATAGAGGTGCTTACCTTGACTGCATTTAAATCCTGTATAAAAACACACTTATTTAAATCTCATTTTACTGACTAGTTTTATTGTTTTTCCGACAGCAAGTGTAGTCAGTAGCCATGGTGATTGCCTTGGTGTATGTTTACTTCATTAGATTACGAGTGTATATTTTGCATTTAAAAGAATTGTTGCACACTCAATTGGCCAATATACATGAAATGTTGATTTGAATCTATTTTATTGTGAAGCACCTAGAGCCATCAGGGAGTGGGCGTTATAAATAGAAGTGATCTTTATTGTTATTATTTATTATTATATTTTATGGGTGCCCACTAAATTGTTTATACTTTTATCAGTATGTATGACATTGTGGTGAAATCGGTCTCTTGTGAAAATAATGAAATCAAAGTAAATGACATTTCTCCACCTGTTGGTAAATTTTTAAAGAATTTTTTATTTTGGGCTCAATGGGAGCATTACACTTGCGAACCTTATTTTTCAAAACCTCACAACTGCGAACCTATTCAATTTTGAGCAGATTTAAACATTGCACTTGGAAACCTATAGTGGCTGAACAAAAATTAAAGCATTGTATGTATGAACCTAACGATTTATAATCGAGTTGTACTCGTACTCGTAACGCTATGGTTGATGAGGATGGCTGTTCACTTCTTCAATCATAATGCATTCCCCCTCTGTGTTTACAGGCTTCAGACTATCTGATAGTGGTATGAGGCCGCATTAGGAATGTTTTGTCTCTAATTTTATTGTTCACAGTACTGGTTAAAACAATGTACACTACTTACATGATATGATAGACTCTTCTTATTCCAGAGCTATTTAAAAGCATACTTTCTTCAGGAACTTGTCTTTTTCAAGAAAAATTAGCAAAGCCACGTCTGCGGAGGCTGTTCACCCTGGAAGCGACCTCGTTGAATCCGAGCTTGCTGATTTAAGTGTTTGTTGAATCGGGGTTATTATTATTGATTTTAAAGAAGAAAAAAACTGGGGAATTCATCTCCTTTCGTTGAATCCGAGCTCGTTGAATCCGAGTTCCACTGTACATGTATCAATGACTACGTATACCCAGAAATTGAAGAGAACCTGATTCCACCATGTTGCGACACATATATATTTTTTGGGCGCCCACTTGGTTGTTTTTAGTTTGGTCAATATTGTTTATTCTTTGCATTCAAGTTGATGCTGATAACTCTTTGCTGTGGTTGTGAACAATAGGCCTGTAAGGCTGAGCTCAGTGATTGCTGGTCCCACCCACCCCCTCGACTCACTCACCCAGTTTTGACTCCCAATCTGTCACTTCTTGCCTTTTCTCTGTTCTGTAATCTGGCAGTAATAGAGATCTTTGTCTGAGCCACTCTGGTTTGAACCCCTGTTCAGTTCTTCTGAAAGTTTATGTTAATTAGATATCCTCAAGTGAATTGAGCGGAATGTGTTTATATTCTTTGTGTAAGTGTACATACTGCAATAATTTGATAGTGCCTTCTCTTGAAAGATAGACAACTTGAAGACTGTATAGTGAACAATTGAATAGTGTCTGTTGTTGCAAGTTTTGCCAAACTTTAGGTAATCAGTTCTTGCCTATGTCTCAGTTTCAACTACTTCTGTTCCTTTCTTGCCTTTTCATGAACAAGGGTTTTGTTAGTTCGTGTGGAATGTGAGTGCTTGGTTGGAGGGCGCCTTTGGTAGATCCTACTTCTTTACTTTCCCTCTGTTGTTTCTGTCTGTCTGTCGTCTTACTTTTTCCCAGCACTAAATGACCATTATTGTGTTGGTGGGTTTCTCTTTACTCAAAGACAGTTGGAATGTTCTGTTCATGTATGTAAATATGCAACATAACCAGCTGGACTGTGGGTGGTTTGCAGATGTTCTGTGTGGTTTGTTCCTTTTTTTTCCTATCAAATATCTATCGTCCTTATCTCTCCTCATCCTTTTCTTTGTATCTTACTCTCTAGTAAAGCATCTCATCTTTGGCACTTATGTGACCAAATTGTACTGCAATTGCTGTAAAAATTGTACTAGAAATAGAACTAAACCAACTTAATTCCTCACTGTGAGTGTGAGGAACATTTTGTGAAAGGGTTTTTAGATTAACTGTTGAATGAAAGGGCTAAAGCTTTCAAATTGCTGCATTGAAATATCAATGACGACAATGATTAAGATGGTAAACAAATTTGAGTGTGCTCATATTTTGTATGTGTAAACTCCTGTAGACCTTCAAGACTATCACATGGTTTGTTTTTGTAGTGTAATGTATGTGTCTGTGCACATGTGATTATTTTTTGTACGTTTTGTTATAACCCCCCCCCCCCCCCCCCCCCCCACCAAAGAAAAAAAAATATGTGGGATCAGGAATTAAGATTTTTTTTTGCTGTTTAGGGAGACTGACTTTCTAACTCTCAAACTTTCAAACTTGTTTTTAATATCACCTGTTTCACTCGCACTCCACTTTAAGAACCTCATCTTATTTTTACAGGCAAAATGAAAAATTAATTTTTTTCCTATATTGTTGTGGGCATGGTTTTATGTAGCAAGGCAGAAAGTTGTATGGATTTCAGTCAGAATTCTTAACTACTGAAGATATTCATTATTCATCCGCATGAAATCATAGTTTCCCATTAGTCAGAGGTTTATCTTTTGTTGGGAAATTTGTCATGGTCACAAAAGTATCTATAATATGTTGTAGCAGTGAGGTTCCTCACAGTCACACATACATAAGAGACCCAGTTTAGTTCCGGATTGGGGGTGAATTTTTATCGAGTATCTCTATCTTTGTGCTTGGATCCTGTATCCCTCTCAGCCCTGGTTGGCCCTGACAGGCAGGGTCAGAAGCCTGCCTTGAAGATAATCTAACTTGTGTCGATGTGTGTGTAAAACACCTACATGTACCTACATTTTTTCACTGTCACAATTTCAAAACAAGTTGAACATGTTAACTTTGTGTTACTATTTTACAAGTTACGTAACTTGCTTCAAAACCAGTGATTTGATTCTTGCTTCAGTTTTCTGCTGTTTCATTTGTTGAGCAAGTAGGACTTTCATTTATACATATCTGATCCAGGAATGTTTCTTCCTGAGTTTTTCAGAAGGAGACTTGTTTTACGAGCTATACCATAAACTCGGAATCAGTTTGATATTCTTCAATAAGGCTGTCTTTGCCCAGTTTATCTTATACTTATATACCACAATCTTCGCACCGTTCTCATTGTTTGATGGTTCGCTTTTTGCTGCTAAATTTAATTTAGCTAAATAACATTTTTGTTTACTAGAAATTTAAATATCTGATCACAGAGAAATCATTTAAAATAGGTCACACTAAGAACAGGATGGTGCCCCCCCCCCCCCCCCCCCAAAAAAAAATGTGGGGATAGAAAGTCATTAGCATAACCAGCATAGGAGACCACTGTGAAAGTGAAATATTATTTCTGAACGACTTTCCTTTCATGTTGTGGATATACAATGTAGTTGCCTTTTCTTTAAAAAATAGGTTGATTATAAGTACTGTTTGTTTTTCTTTACAGAAGAATATTATGCCATGGTGCCACAAAAGAGATTTTGGGGCTTTCTGTTAATGCAGTTCACAAAAGGCAGCAATTGTTTTATTTTAGAGAAGAGTAACATTGAAATCGGAGCCTGCAATATGAAAAGAGATACATATTTCATGGCTTCCTGAAATAGGAAGTAAGTCAGATTCCCAATCTTATAAATTACCTTTGCTTCGAAAACAAAAATCAATCTTGGCTACACACAACTCGACTGCTCAGTATGAGACTGTCATACGTCACTTTTCAAAATGGCGTGTGGCAGAGTCTGACACTATGCTATCAAGTGTGTTATTATCCCGTTTTTTTCTTTTTTTGTTACCACCCTTCTCACCATGAAGTTACGGCCTTTTAACATCACGCATAAATTATTCTTAGAATATCAGAAGATACAATGTTGTTAATTTTTCATTGTTTAGTTTTTGTTGCATGTCGTTGAAGGGTGCTTACTCTTTTTCTCTCCCTCTGTTCTTTCTGTTAATAACTGTTATTGTATCGATATGCTTCTGTAGACTCAAAAGAATGTACCGTGTTTATGCTGTCATATTTTTGTTTGGCAATTGTTGTTGATGACAGTGATTGTGGAGCTGAATGGTTGCTTGTTTAGATAATAATGATAATTGATAATTACAATTGTATTCATATATAGCACATAGCCTTGCTCTACAACATGCTCTATGGGCTTTACAACTATCTGGAACACTCAGAAAC